CCTCAAAGTTTGGTGCAAAAACGCATGATCGCACCGGCTCGCCTGGTGCGTTCCAGCCTGGGTTTAATATACGTGAAAGAAAAAATGTTATAATGTGCAAAGTAACAGGAAGAGGGACGAGTACATAGCCTGTAGGAGGGCAGGCAGGCAAGTAACCGATAATACTGAATATCCATATTGCCTGTCCGCATAAGCCCTAGTGATAAAATGAAAGTTGATTTCATACTCTCAATCAGCAAAGTACCTTAACACATGTTTTGATAGTGCATACGTTTGGGAATAGGGCGGTGACGCTCAACATACACAAACCAATGACTCTTCAGTTGGTAACAACCTTGTCATAGTATTTCTATCAGGAGAGCCAATTAACCTATAATCCTCTTGGAGACGAAAAGAATGTCAAGACCGCTAGAAGGCTGACCGTCAAGCGATGCAGCACTGATCAAAAATAAGCATGAAATGAAGAAAGAAAATGAAACGGTTATTATTTATGTCACTGATGAATCAATGATAGCCGTTGCAAGGCTTCAAGTAAGTATTACTTCGTAAATAGTAACTGAAGGTACTGCATCGAAGATGTTTTCGTAACAACAGGAGTAGCTGCTTCCGCTTTTAAGTTTTTGCTTTCTGTTTGATAATGTGTGTATATGTGTGATAGTACTATCTGACTGCTGATAATTTGATTAGAAATAAAAAGTGAAATTCATCTCTACTTAACTGTTATTATTACATGCTTGATTTCACTGGAAAACTGGACGTGAATGAAAAAAGCCATCTGAACGAAGAAATTGTTTAACTTCCGCCTAAGCGAAAAACACTGCATGCAGTTTTTCAGAGCAACAGGCGAACAAGATAGAAGCCCAGTGAAATTGCCAGTGAACAGGAAGCATGGTAATTCCAATAAAATGAAGCTTATTATAAAGATGTTTGCCGGATTCTAGGCACATCCTGCATGTAATACTAACTGAAACCTGCGCAGACGTAGAAAAAAATTCCTCGCCCTACCTCGTATACTGCTCATAGCCTGGTCTTTTTCGAAGAAGAACGATCCTTACTTTTTTTCAACCAAATTTTACAAACGGTTCCAGATGAT